TTACGGCCACATCACGTTGAAACACAGGTTCCCATACGATCACCGCAGTTAAGCAACATTGAGCCTGGTCAGTACGCGGATGGGAAACAGTTTGGGAATACCAAGTTCTTTAAGGTTAGATGTGAGTGTGGTGTAATGGATAATCTCTCTGAATTGTTAATCAGAGACCAGAGTTGGGTTCGTTGTATTCAATTACGCACAAATAACCTTCGCAAAATATGAAACCAACTATTTTCCCACCTACCGCCAACAATGGGTTAAGTGGTAACATTTGTATCAATAAATCATTATTAAACCATTATCTCCCACTCCCAAAACTAAATTCTTACAATCTAAAAAATATTTTCTCTCTTTAAATAGCCTGCAAAGGGTTTATTAGCTGTTAAAAACGAATCAATCAAATCAAAAGGCTAGAAAAGTCATCTACAAAAGCATTAAGAAGTATTAAACATCCATTCATTAAAAAAATAATTACCGTCTAAAACATCGAATTCTTGAATGCATATAAAAAAAAAAGAAAAATTACGCGTTGTCGGTACACGTTCCTCCTGACATGAACAACTGTGACCTACAACGCTGGACTTTGAAACGAAACATAAGGACACTTTTTAAAACAATGCTCTGATTGAAATACATTTGATTTTCTTCCCGTCTCTTTAATTTCTCAAACCACCAACGAAAAGTGAGACCTAGTACGAATTTTGGTTATTTTTTTTTTAAATCTACAACATCCACATTTGTGAAAAGTTATTCACCTTTTATAACAGTAGACATAGAATCTTTATTCTTTTCAATAAGACTTGTATGCAGGAACAATTGCTGCTAAAATATACTGGATGAATACATTTTTAGGATATATATATATATATACGTCTTACCAGTTTGTGATCGAAATATTCTCGGTAAATCTTTACGGAGGAGATTTCGATCTGAAGAGTTGAACACCTCGGTGTTCACGAAATAAATTATAATCGAAATAGATAATTAAAATCTTCTTCTTATAATAAATATATATATATATATGTGTGTGTGTGTGTGTGTGTGTGTGTTTTCAGGTTTATTATAGACAGGATATTAAAAGGCTACAAAAACATTGCTAATAATTAACCATCTGTTAATAAAAAAAAATTTATAAAAAATTATATACTTGAAGGAAAGATACTCAATTTAATTTTTATTTATTTTGTAAAAAAAAGATAAAAAAAAATTTCTTTCCATCTTTTTTCTTTCTCATGCCCCTGACGATGACTCATGTGAGTTGAAAGCTTGGACCTAAGAGAAATTTCGACACCAGCCACATTTGCGAAAAGTTATTCACATTTGATATATAGATATATATATGTAAAACAATCATTAAGTTTACTAGACATAAAATTCATATTCTTTTTAAAAAAATTTATATGCAAGAACAATTGATGACAAAGTATGCTGGATGTGAGACATTTCTTTTAATAAGCCTCTCGCCGCTAGACGTAATTCACACTGTTCCAAAAACAGAGCGTCTACTCAAACATGGTTATCCACTAAAATAATGTTTAGAGTATTAGTAACTCTGTATATATGTAGGTTTTTGTGATCAAGTCTTCTGAAAAGTGGATATAATCCCATGAAACATAGCGTAGACATTCATAAGATAAATGAAAAGGTTTAATTTATTTTATTTATATTTACATGTATGCATGTTCTGTATATGTACATGCATAGATAGATAGATAGATAGATAGATAGATAGATAGATAGATAGATAGATAGATAAAAAGTTTGATTTGAACAGACTGAGATAGATAGGTATGAATAGAATTAAATAGATAGATAGATAGATAGATAGATAGATAGATAGATAGATAGATAGATAGATAGTACATTTTAAAAGGTAACTTTCATTATTTGGTAGCTTTTCCTAATCGCCAACTAAATATTATGAAAGCTTTTTTCTTGTCGTGCACACTAATCTTCCGTTATGTTCACCGACTTTCGTACGAAAAGGCGAAGGTATAAGAAAAGAAAACGTCATCATGGCAGTGATATGGCTAACATTCCCAGTAATAGTAGTAATAGTTATTTTAGTTTCGTACTCATAGCTGAAACGATAATTGTAACTACTGTAGAGATATAAATATTCTGGGCAGCGGAAGTTAGGATACAGATATTTATAACATTAATAATAGCGATTGTATTAATGCGAAGAGATGTTTAGTAAATCAGTTGGTAATGGAATTGCTAGGTATGCCGCCCTGATGCTAATATTATGAATAGGTTTCCCAGATTTTATAAATATATCATTACCCCAATCAAGTATCAATTTTTTCCAGCATTTATATAAAATCTGCCATGTCTCCGTTGGAATATAACACATTTCACACGTGGATAAATGTATTGTTTGTCAAGTAGGTTAATTGTCTCGCGTGCCACTTACGAAATTTGACGCTAACTTTTCCATCTTGTTGCAAAATCTGATACCACATAAGTTCATATATTTGGTTGTTAATGTTTGTAAATATATTCTCAAAATTAAAAAAGTTACCAAGATACATATGAATATTTTTCATATTATAGTTATTATAAAGCCCATTAATTTCAATCTCTTAAGCAAGATCTTGGTATTTCTTTTACTACTATTATAATATAGTGAGATTGTTCCTCACTAGGTGCCACCGACATGTGGCATTGTGCTGTGCTAAGTTTAGTAAATATCGATAATTGTAGAATTTACCCGATCCTTGGCAACAACGTTAAATCGCTTTTTATTCCAATTTTTGCATATTTTACGATTGTAACTTGTTATTTAGGAATACCGACTGGGAATAAGACTTCCTTTAAACTGAAAACTATTTGAACATTTGGTTGTATCAACTACAAGTTAGTACCACTTGGCCATTCTTACAGGTGTAGCTAGTAGAAACAGTCTTAGTTATACTGTGGTAGTGGCTGGAGTTTATTGAAACGCATATAAACTGGAAAAGGACTAAAACGCCTGCATCTGTAAGGCTTGAATATCATAGCCAAATTTAGATCCCATGATTATATATAAACAGGGTTTATATTTAATTGAGTACAAGTCTGTTTTGCCTGGTGTTTAGGCTAGAGTAAAGCTTGACTATTTTGGCTATTTTTTTTTAAGTTGATACTGAAGGTTTTAGATAACAGCTTCCGCTCATAGTAAAGTTAATGAACTGAAAAAATAGCAAAAATGGAGAAAGATATTATTACCATCTCGTTGCATAGCCGGTCAGTTCAAAAATTTGTTTTGGTATTGTTTCCATATTTTAAGTTTTCTTTCCTATCGCCCTTGACTTCTGGTCACGGTCCCAATCGGCCTTTGTGTCGTTAAAGTTACAAAAATATTGGCGACGGTGGTCAATGTGATGGTAGTAGTAGCGGTGATCTTTGACTACAGTGTTTTATTTTATTTTTTATTTTTTTTTGTTTACAAACTGACTACTTCCTTTTTAGTCTTGCCTACCTGCCTTGTTCACCTGTCTGTCGGCCAATTGGTAGGACAGGGAAGGTGGGTAATTGGTCGCTAAGTATTTAAAGTAGGTAAGGAAATGTTAATGGAAAAGTATGGTGGGTCGGTTGGAGAGCTGGCTGCAGGCAATCGAAAAGCATCTTGTTCAAAAGACTTGTAAATTAATGAGATGTCTTTCTCTTGTTCTCTCTTTCACCGTCCTCTTTGCGCACGCGCACGCGTATACTTAACATACACCTATATATAAATTCATACGTCGGTTCATTTGAACAATTATCAAGGTATACACATATGTGAATTCACATATATATTTGCATTGAAGTAAAAAAAATACTGAACCACATGTTCGACACGATTTAATTCTAGAGAAAAAAAACTATATTTTTTATTGTTTACATGTTTCGAGACTAGTATTCACTTCATCAGCTTAAGAATTGCCTTGATTGAATTTTAAAGTTCAAATTAAAGTTCATACGAATTCGCTGTTACAATACAGACATGTAACAGAAAATAATTCAACATTATTAACAGGGAAAATTCAAAATTATTATATATATATGTATATGTTTATTACCCAATCGTGTTATACATTGATCCATTTGTATGCAAGAAAGCATGTTTAAGGTTTATCCGGCAAGTTGATACCGTTGACCAGAGTGTGATCATCACAGTACCCATGTGACTTCTTGGAGCCATGTGTGGAGAGTTAGATGAAGGCCGTCGGCAAGTACAGTTCTGCATTCCAATTCACCCGAGTAAAGAAGGATCGACCGATTCACTGCAAAGGTACTATCACAGATGACACAACCCATACACCCCACATATCTTTAAAAACTATTTTTCCTCTGTATATTTTTACGTTCATAGAACGTTAACACAAGTGCAATGGGGATATGGTTAATAAGCCATTATTAGCATTTGTACTCACTAAACACTAAGACTCTCAAGCCGATATCCTTCAAAAAGTTTACCAATATTGACTATACAGATGACCTTACTTTCACTGCAAACACCATTCTAGAGTTCTCCTACATCATCAAGAAAATGCTGCCACCTATGTTGGACTCTATGTCAATACCTCTAAAACTCAATTCAAAGGTTGCAACCAACAAGACTCAATAAAAACTGTCTGAGATGAATCAATAAAATTTGTCGAATCTTTTACATTCCTAGAAAGCGAGAGAGATTCTACTGAAAAGGATGAGAAAATTCCCGTAGCTAAATCCTGGGCCACCTTGAATGAAATGGAAGTAATATGGAAATCTATCTACCAGACAACCTCAAACGGAGATACTTTCGAGCCACTGTAAAGGCAGTGTTAATGTATAGTGCTACTGCTTGGACATTAACTAAAAACCTAGAATATAAGCTTGATGGAACCTAATCTCAGATGCTGTGAGCCATAATCAACATCTCTTGGAGACAACATCCGACTAAATCACAGCTCTATGAACCCTGATATTTCTACAATCTTATGAGAACTTAGAATGCACTTTGCAGCTTATTGCTGGCGAGCAAAACAAGAACTTGCTAGTGATCTACTGCTCTCGACACCCAACCAGTGAGCAAGACTTGTTGGTCGCCCGGCAACCACCTATATTGACCAGCTATGTTATGACACAGAATGCCACCCTAAT